CTCACCGAGGTCTAGGGCATGCACTGAGGGCCTCTGGGAGAAAGGGGTGCCCTTGTAGACTTGGTCCAGCACCTTCTCCTTGACCTGGGTGATTGTGTCCGTGTCGAGCACCCGGGCGGGCACGCACTGCGCCGCGCTGCCCCCCGCAGCCCCACCAACCCCTGGGCCAGCCAGCACCATCAGCGTCAGGGGCCGGAATTCCACGTCCTCCCGCAGCAGGCGGCTGTCGTTCAGGGTCCGTTTTGCCTTGCCTGTCACGGCGTCCACGGGCCCCTTGTCCACCTGGTACTGGATGGCCCGCAGGAGCACATAGAGCGGCTCACCCGCTACCTCCTGCAACCACCAGGAAGGGCTGGCGTCAGCTGGGGGACCGGTGGGCGGTGCGGGCAGGGGGGGCAGCCCGCTGCACGGAGCGAAGATGGACGGCAGGCAACGACAGCGGCCTCTGCTTCACATCCAGCCGGGCAAATGTACGTAGCCTTCCCCTCACCGGCCCCCCGCCCTCGAGCCCGAGGCCCCTGGGCAGAATGGGGGCGCAGATCAGTGAGGCCAGAGGCAGCAGCCCCAGAATGGCGTGAGGGGAGAGGGGCCCTCACCCTCAGGAAGGCGTAGAGGCAGATGGACACCCAGTTGGTGAGCAGCTTCTCCGCCATAGTCTCCGTCCTGCAGGGAGCGGGCCCCGGGTCAGAGGGGCTGCTGCAGGGCCACCCTGTCTCCAGGCTGAGGCAGGCGGTAGCGGGAGGGCAGAGCTGCTCCGCCTGGCCACCCTTTGTGCCCGGCTCGCCGCTCAGGATGCCCATCTGCTTCCCCACCAGCGGCTCCGGACCCAGCCCGCCTCCCGGGGCTTCCCAGCCCCACCCACTCCAGGACAAGGCTGGACGGAGCCAGCTCCCCTGCTGCCGGGACCGGTCAGGCCAAGGCCAACCTGCGCAACATGAGCTTGGGGTTCTTCTGCACGTAATGGGTAGCCAGGTCTCCGAGCAGCGTCCTCATGATGTCGGTCAGGTACTCGAGCTTGCCGTGCAGTGCCAGGGACAGCAGCGAAGCCACGAGGCAGCGGTCCCGCTGGGAGAAGCTGGGCTGCTCCTCCAGGGTGTGGATGAGCTAGGCGGGAGGAGGGGGTGCTGGCACTCACCCCGGGAAGCCCTGCGCCTCACGTGTCCTCCCACGCCTGAGCCCACGCCTGCTGCCTGGCCCGCCTCCTCGCCCAGGCCCACCGCCCGCCCCCGCGGCCCTCACCGTAAGAAGGAAGGGCTTGCTGTTGAGCAGGTTGGAGAGCTGCATGAGGCCCTGGCGCACCGGTGCGCGGCAGCCCTCTTCCCCGGGCCCCTCGAGGGCGGGCTGCAGCGGGCAGCTGCCACGCCCGGGGAAGAGGACGCGCTCGGCGTACGTGCGGTAGTCCAGGAAGGGGATCCCGCTGGCCTCCAGGTCGCTGCTGAGGTCAGTCATCTCCATCATCAGGTCTGTAGGCCAGGAGCCACCGAGGTGTGAGCTCAGGCCCAGGTCCGCCCTCTACCCCCTCCCCACCGCCCGCTCCCTACCTGTGAACTCCTTTCGGCACTGGTCGCCTACGCCGATCTCCAGGTTCTCCAGCTGCACCAGAACCTTCTGGTAGTCCCGCAGGGCCTGCTTGCTCTTGTGCCTGCGGCCCAGGGGCCAGGTGTCAGCCACTGGACCAGAACTGCCTGGGCCGAGGCCACTGAGCCAAGATGGCCGCCTGCGCAGAGGCCTGCCGTGGGCCACCCTTTCCAAAGGTGAGGAGGGGAGTTGACGCGGGTGCGCGCATGGCAGGGCGGCCCCCTCACCTGTACACGAGGGTCAGGAGGAGCACGGCGGCGATCGGCACGGCCACGCCCAGGCCCAGGCCCGCCTGGGCCTCCGCGGGGAAGGCAGAGAGCGCGGGCTCAGCCTCGTACTGGATGGGGCCCAGCGGCAGCCGCACGTTGCCCATCTGCACCTGCGGTGGGGACGCAGGGCTCTTGAGCGCCGGCCTGCAGCGCTCCGCCCGCCCAGCCCGGCCCCCGGGGCCCAGCCTCACCACAAACTGCGGCAGGGGCCTGGAGCCGTTGGTGGGCCGCGGGGCCTGCGCGGGCGGCTCGCAGTACAGGTGGGTGAGAGTGAGAGTCTTCACCAGGCACTCGTCATCGCCGATGTGCACGCGCACCTCCTCCTTGCTGATGCCCAGGTTGAGACCCTCACCCTGGAAGCCGGATCCGGGGCCTGAGTCGAGCCACCCAGCTGGTGCCCGCAGCCCCCGCGCAGCGGCGGCCGGCAGAAGGCCTCACCTCCACGTCCAGGATGTGGCCTGGCTTGAGGCGGTAGGGGCGGGCGCGGCTGAGCGGGGCCAGGCGGGGGTTGGGCTGGTACAGGAAGTCCTGGCCCCCACTGGCGCGGGCGAAGTCCACATGCACGTTGTCCAGGGCAAAGAAGACGCGCTGTGGGCTGGCCCCGTCCGGCACTGCAGGGCTCCGGCACAGGAGGAGGCTGGACGAGTTGACAGAGCAGACGGTGGAGCACTGCGAGGCGGCGGGGCCAGGACGAGGCAGGGTGAGCTGGGGCTGCCCACTCGCTCCCAGGGACGTGGGGGCCACCCCACCCCCTCGCGGGGCACGGCGTCACCTGCTGGTGGGGCCTCACCTGCAGCAGGCCCCCCTCAAGCTGGGTGCAAGCCTGGGGGGCTGCGGCGGGGGCCCGACAGCTCCCCCTGGGGGTCGGGTCCCGGGGCTGCACTGCCACAGCCGTCTCCTCCGCGGCCTCCAGCCACACGGACAGCAGGGGCCGCTCTACCACGTCCAGGCCCGTGCCCCTGACTCGGATCAGCCGCCCGCCCCTGCGCCAGGATAGCACTCAGCAGGACCAGGGGCGGCGGGCAGCCCAGTCCAGTCCTGGTTGTCCGGCCTCCCGGCAGGGTGCACAGGTTGCCCCAGGTGGATCAGGTCCTCACCCCCGGAAGCTGACGCTGGGCTCCGCCGCCACGAGCTGGGGGTCGGCGGTGTAGTGGAAGGGGCTGGCGAGCAGCATGCGCTGGGCATGGCCGAAGACCACTCGAACCACAGCTTCTCCTGGGCTGGCCTGGGGCGTGGTGTGGCACACGATGGTCTCAGGACACACTGGCTCCCTTCTGCAGGGTGGGGAGGTGTCTGGCATCTTGGGCTCTAGCCTCAGCCCGGCCTCCCCACCAGAGGCCTGCTTTGCCTCCCTCACCAAGGGCAGAGACCCCTGGGGTGGGCATGGCAGCCGTGAACCTGGGACTTTCACGGGGGCCTTGGGGAGCCCTGAGCTCATCGCCCCCACTGTACGCAAGGGGACGCTGGGGCCCGTAGGGAGTATCCCCAGCTGACAGCGACCAGCCGGGGCCAGGAGGAGGGACTCACATGTGACAGGGCTGGCTGCCCACAAAGGCACTGATGTGGCCTCCCGTCTGCAGGTGCTGCCCATGGATGGTGAGCTGGGTGCCCCCTGCCTGGGGGCCCCACTGGGGACTCAGGCTCAGCAGGACGGGGTCCTGGGGGACAGGGAAAGCTGGGGCACGTGGAGGCCCACTTCTCAGCTCTGCCTCCTGGGCCACGGCAGACCCTTCTCTCCCTCCGGAAGCCCTGTGCCCAGCTTCTGCAGCCCTGCAGCTCTCCTGCCAGCCGCCCTGCCCCACCTCGCTCCTCACTGCATCTCCTCGTCCTCTGCCGCGGCTTGCACCTCTCAAGCCCCCCTCCCCGCAACTCTAAGCCCTAAGATCCAGTCACCTCCTTGGGGTGCTGCACCTGCCCCTGCACCCACTGCTCCCAGCCCGGGCTCTCTGGCCCCAGCAAGTCTCGAGGGCTCAGGCTGGCACCTGGAGGCATCCCTGCTCTCCCCCATCCCCTTGCCCGCAGGCAGCCAGGTGGGCAGCAAGTCCTGACAGCTCTGCATCCCCGAGTGGTCCCCCTGGCCATCCGGTGGCCGCTGCACCCACTGCTTCCGCTGCTTGCCTCCCTCCTAGACAGCGGCCGGTGGGCAGCGTCCTTACCATCCCACCACTGCCCACAGCCCACCGTCCACTCAGTGGCCAGAACGATCATTCGGATCGCGTGGCTTCCCTCCTGGACGTGAGGTGACGCTTCCCACTAACCTTAGGTCAAGTTGGAAATCCTCACGTAGGTGTCACTGCCCTCCTGCCCCTTCTTTCTACTACCCCCTCTGTGGGGACCACCCTGGGTGGGCACTGACCTGGTAGGTGAAGTGCTGGGTTGAGATGCCCGGTGGCCGACTCTTAACGGCCACTTGGATTGGGCCCACGGTGCCGTTGGGGGCAGGAGATGTCACACACACAATCCTGCAGAGCGAAGGCCCGATAGCTGCTCAGGACCCCCGTGGGCCGGGCCCTCGCCCATCGGGAGCCACAGGCCGCCTGCCAGCCGCTGCCCAGAGCCCACCCCTTCCACTCCTCTCGCTGCCAGCCCCCGCTTCCTTCCCCCGGCCTCATCTTCCTTCGGCGCATCTGACCCGGGCCCACGTTTCTTGGCTGCGAGCCTCCCTTCTCTCTGGGCGGCCAGTCTCTGAGGGCCTCCTTGGGAGGGCGTCCCTCCGCCCCCGGCTGCCAGGATGCCTCACCGGGCAGAGATGCGGTAGAGAGAGGGGTCAGGGCTGCAGGGCCGGCCAGCCACGCTCACGGCGTCCTGCACGTCGGCAAAGTCCCGGCCCAGGTTGGAGCCCAGGATGGTGAGGGCCAAGCCGCCCTCGGGGGGGCCGGTCAGGGGCTCAATCTGCAACAGGGAAGGGTGGTGATGGGATGCCCGAAACTCGCTCCTCCTTTGCGGTGTCGGGGGGTGCCTGGCCAGCCGACCAGACCGAGGTGGGACACAGCTGCTAGGGTTTGGGGGCCTGGGGCAGGGCTGCGCTGACCCTGGTAAAGCTAAGACAGTGGGGGGCAGGGCGGGGCCAGGCAGACCGGGATGGGGGATGGGGGATGAGGTGAGAGGCTGGGCCATGGTGGGGGGCTGGGGGCTCACCGTGTCGATGCTGGGTGTGGGACACAGCAGCTCCACAGCCCCAGGCGGGCACAGCGGCCCGTAGCGACAGGTGGGCTGGTCGTGGCTGCACCACAGGCAGCCCAGGCTCCCGTTGGCTGCCTGGCAGTGGCTGCAGTCGGGGTGGCCCACAGCGCAGTCGTACAGGGTCACTAGGGAAGGTCAGGTGGTGCGCTGAGGCGCCTCCCCCGGCTGCACACCCTGCCCTGCCTGCTGTGCCGCCCCCAGGCTCACCATGAAGAGTGCGGGCATTGTCCAGCCTCTGGCCCTCGCCCCGGGTGACGTAGATGGGCACGGGGAGCTCCCACTGGGCCATGGAGGGCTGGAACTGTGGGTGGAGGGCGGGGTCAGGCCCGACCCAACTCGGGACACCCCCTGACCCCCGCCCGCCTCCTCCAGGTTGCTCCTCCCAGAATGGGTGCCATTGTTCAGGGCCCCTGCATCTCCCAGCAGGGGCTGTGGGCACCACGTTCCTGTGCATGCCCAGGCCTGCCCACAGCAGGCCTCCTGAGTGACGACAGGCTGAAGGGGGCGAGCCCCTGAGGGCCCGGGACAAGCAAGGGCTGCAGAAGGCGTCCAGTGGCAGGTGAGGCTATGGGGCAGCTGCCCACCTGCTGCGCCTGGCAGTGGATGAGGCCGGCGTCCCCAGCCACCTCCTCCAGGGAGGCTGGCAGCCTCTGCAGTTCTCCGGGCAGCTCCAGCCAGCAGTGGTAGGAGGCAGGCAGGCCCTGGGGGTGGGCTCTGTCAGCATCCTGGACACTGTCAGCCGCTACCACTGCCCCTCCCCCGCTGTTGCTGTCCCCACCCACCGGAATGCTCACCCGGAAATGCTGAAGGTTCCGCACGCGCAGGGCCAAACGGCTCTCCCAGCCCACAGGCACCAGGAGGGGGCCTACCAGGCCCTCGACCCTGGGACAAGCCCCTGGGCCCCGCACCTGGGTGTCCACCTGGGGGAAGGAGACCCCTTAGCGCTTTAGGAGTCGAGGGGCCTTAGGCGGGCCCGGGGTAGGGCGGGCGCACGGCGGAGGTGAAGAGAAGCCAGCAGGCTGGGCCCGCCCACCTGTTGGGCACTGTAGATGGTCCTCTCGCCCTCCGGGCAGCGTTCCCCATACACACAGCGGCTGCTCTGGGGGCACCAGTGGCACCTCCAGCGGCTGCCCACACAAGCACTGCACCTGGGGGGACGGGGGGCTGCTCAGGTGGGGCGCCATCGGGAGTCACCACCCCTACCCAGCAGCTGGGCCCGGCACTCACGGAGCAGCCACCTCCAAGGCCTGCACGGCACTGCAGTCGTAGAAGGAGAAGTTGGTGGTAGCCACGACCACGTCCTCGAACATCAGGGCCAGGGGCAAGGTGATATGCTCTGGGAGGGGCATATGGTGGTGGCAGGGGAGGGCATGGTGGTGGCAGGGGCGGCCATGTGGCTCCTGCCCCTCCGGCTCCCCCCTTGCCCCTCGCCCCGGGGGCCCCTCACCTGTGCCTGGAGGGTTATGCGGCAGCTGGTCTTGGGGAGGGGTGACGCAGGCCACGTGGGTCCCTTCCACGTGAGCCAAGCTGTCATAGTTCCCAAAGGCACAGTGGAAGTACTCGTCCATGGTGAGGGTGGGCAGCCGGGGCACAGACAAGGTGACCTGCGACGCATGCGAGGAAAGCACAGCAGGTGGGGGCTTCCTGGGGGGCCCAGCTCGCTGAGGGAGAGGGATCCAGGGCAAGGGAGGGTTGGGAGCAGAGGCAGCGGGAGAGGAGGAAGACGGGGCAGCCCCCGCCCCAGCAGGCGGCGGCAGGCATCTGACCTGGCCCTGCTCCTGGCGGGGATGGTGGGCCGGCAGCAGGCTCTGGATGTGCAGGCAGCGGCCGTGCTCGTAGCTCCATAGCCACTGGTTGGGCTGGGCTGCCCGCCCGCATTGGCCCTTGCGGGTACACCTGTGGGGCAGGGGCCCGTTGGGTCCCTGTGTGGGACTCAGGCTCCCTGGGTGATTTGCGGCAAGGGGCTTGGGAGGACGGCCCAGCTGGAGCGCAGCAAGCAGTGGGGGTGAAAGGGACTCTGCTCAGAGAGGAAGGGGCCAAGCACATGAGCACGTGAACCTGGCTTAGGGTTGCCGTGAGGGATTCCTGAGGCCGCCGTGTGGAGCGTGGGCTGGAGAGGAGCTGGAGTGGGCCAGGGGACACCTGAGAGAGGTGATGGAGGCCTGGCCCAGAGGGGGCTGGGGGGAGGTGAAGTGGACAGGTTGGGCAGTGGGGGGAAGGGGATGCCCACCAGATTCTCGGTTGGGCACGCAGGGCAGGATGGGGGGACTCAGCGACGGCCCCGCGTCCCACCTCGGGGACACGACCCGGCCTCCTGGCCCACCTAGAAGTGCTCCGGGAGCGGACCCCACTCACCTGCCCTGCAGGACACACCAGCCGCACAGGGGGTCCCGGGCCTGGAGGCAGCTGCTGCAGTTGGGGAACTGGGGGCAGGCTGCCACGGGTAAGCGGTCCACCTGGACAGGCGGCGGGGTACGGAGGTGGTGGCTGCAGGGCCTCGGGCCTCGTGTGCTCACCCCCCACCCCGGGGACAGTCCTCACCTGCTGGGAAGTCAGCACGTAGAGGTGGCTGCCGCTGCTGTCCACCAGCAGGTCGGGGCTGATGGCCGAGCCCGGGGGCCCCACTTGTTGTGAGTGGTACACCTGGCCTCGGGTGCCATTGAGGAAGACCTGGGGGGATGACAAGGGCAGGGCTGGGCCAGACCGCCGAGCCAAGGCCCGCTCTCAAGATGGCCACAGGCTAACCGTTCGGAGCAGGTGCTGTCCCGGCTGGGGTTCCCCGGGGAGCATCCCGGCCCACGGAGCTGTCTCCCCTTCCTGCCAGCCCAGGGCGGCCACGCTGTGCTGTGGAGGGTGGGGCAGGCCCATGGGCATCCAGCCTGCCCATGTCACCTCCTCGCTTCAGCCTCACCCAGCTAGGGGGGCAGAGCCACCCTGAGTGGGGCCCTTGGGTGCCAGGGGAGGAAGGGCAGTTGTGGGGAGACAAGCAGGTCATGAAAAGGCAAGAGTCTCCTCTTATCAGCTGGAGAAGTGGGGGCCGCCTGGGAGGCATCCTAAGCCACACATCTGGGAGCCAGCCATCAGTGTGTGGCCTGGCTTTCCGACCTGCCAGCAGGACACAGGCCGAGAGGTGTGGAAGGAAACGGTGGCTCACGGGGCTTCTGTGAGCCACCACAGGGCAGGAGCGCATCCAGTCAGACCACTGAGGCCGGGCCCGGCCTGGCAGCGTTGAGGCTGGGACCGGGGGTCTGGCCATGGCCCGCCCCGCCTTCATCAGGCCCTTACCTTATGCAGCTGGCCCTGGTCGTCCCCCAGGAATGCTATCGTGTGTCCGTCTGCCTGGAGGGCTGCGACTGCGCTGATGGAGTTTCTGAGCTGCAGCAGAGGCCCCGCCTCCAGGGGCTGGCGGCCCGCAATGGGGCTCGGGGTGTGTTCATCGCCACAGGGGTATGACTCGGGGGAGTCCTGCAGGGGCGGAGAGGGGGGATTCAGTTCCCGGAAGAGGCACGAGTTACCTTCCCTGGGCCCAGAGCTGCAGTCAGCACAGGATGGCAAGGCAGCAGGCGAGAAGGGCTCAAGGTTGCACCGCACAGAGGAAGAGACTGGCCGAGGAGACTCAGACGAGCGGGCCCCTCCTTGACATCCTCTAAAGCAGAGGTCACAGGCGATTGTCACATGAGAGCGTCCAGCTGCCCTCGGCCAGGACTACGTGTGGCAGCCCCGGCCCTGGTCAGAGAGATGTTGCAGGTCCACAGAGGGACAGGGCCGGGGTGGCAGGCCGGGCAACACGAGGCCACGGGAGAGGCGGGAGCCGCTGCCAGGTGGCGGTGCGGTGCGGAAAGCCTCAGGTGAGAGGGCAGGGGTGAGGCCCGGGCCCAGCCACTCACGGGCGGCAGGGTGACGCAGCGCGATGTGACGCCGTACTCCACGGTGGCTTCCTCCGTGCCGCCGGGGCCCCGGCCGCCCGTGGTGTAGCAAAGGCGCCGGGCCCGCTCCATGGTCGCGTCCAGGTCAGCCAGGGGAAAGGCGCACAGGGCCGCCTGCGCCCCCCTTGGGCCGGCAGCAAACGCCCCCAGTAAGGCGCCTGGGGCGAGGGAGGCGGCCTGGATGAGGCCGTGGCCCCGGCAGGTGAGGGGCACCTCCACGTAGGAGTAGAGGTTGGCGTCCCCCAGGCAGACCCGAGCCACGTAGGAGTGGTACTCGGCCTGTGCCCGGGACCCACGGCGGCGGAAGACAAAGTAGGCCGAGCGAGCGTCAGCGAGGGCCGCCACGTAGCTGTTGTTGTAGTCGGAGAGGTCGCCCACCACCAAGCGGCCCAGGCCCTCACTGGAGAAGGGCTGTGGCCCAGCCAGCTGGCGCACGGTCAGGGGTGGCACCCCGCCCGACAGCTTTCCCGCCAGGCCCCTGGCCACCAGCAGGAGGTCCCGGCCTGGCCCGGGCACCACCAGGCCCACCGTAGCCACGCCCGCGGCGTTGGCAGCCACGAACTGCCCGTCGCCGGGGTCCTCGGCCCGGTACAGCAGCTGCGCCACATCCTCGAGGCGCCGCTTCTCACACACTCCCTGCCGCACCTGCCCGCAGGCCACCAGCTCCCGGGCCCGGCCGCTCACCAGCAGCAGTTGGTTGGCGTTGTCGGTGAGCCGGGCCTGCGGGCACTCGGCTGGCTCCCGGAAGGGCACGCAGTCGGGGCTGTCGAGGACCGGGCCTGTGACGGCCACCGACTCGAGCCGCAGCGCGGGGCTGAGCTGGAAAAGGCGGTTCACCGCGCCCACGTAGAGCGCGCCCCGGCCTGGGGCCAGCGCCAAGCGGTTGAGGGTGGTATTGGGCGCCGGGAATCGGTGTGCCCGCGTCGGGGCGAGTGGTGGGCATAGCAGCGGCAGCACGAGCAGCAGGCAGGCGCCCAGCGGAGGCCGGGGCGCCATCGCGGGGCCCTGGGGGAGGCCGGGCAGGAAGGCACGAGTCAGGGCGGCCATGGGAATGGAGGACGAGGGTGCAGGAGGAAAAGGAGAATCCAGGAGAGACAGAGACAGAAGGGGAGGGGGAGTTCACGGCCCTAATGTTTTCCACATGGACTATGTGAATGATGAAGTAAAGTCAATCATGTATTTCCTTTCCAACTGGACAGAAAACAAAATTTTAAAAAGTGTTTGGACTACGGGGGGGACGGACGGAGAGTCCCCAGGAGATGGGGGCGGGGTGTACGCATGCGCGAGGAATTTCCTTCATCTACTCTATATGCATCTAGATTGTGGAAGGGGGCAGATCCTGAAAAGCCACAGGAACACCAACAGAAGGACTGAGTGGCAGAGCGGGGAGAGACCACAGAAAGGAGAGCAGGGCGGAGGGTGGGGAGCGCCTTTCTCCGGGGGCGGTGCAGGGCGGCGGAGGGCGAGGGGAAAGGGGACAGGAGCCCAGAGACCAGGGCCTGAGGGCCAGCGAGGGTGGGAGAGAAAAGCTGCCCTGGGAAGCCAGCGGAAGAGAGGAGAGAGCCAGACCCCCGCTGCCTGCCCCAGAGACAGCAAGGGGCCGGTGGCCAGGGCTGAAGCAGAGAACAGAGGGCTGGGAGGGCCCCAGACTGAGCTGGGGGTGCTCAGAGCGGGGATGGGGGAGTTGGGGGGCACCAAGAGACAACCCGGGGTGCAGGGGCTTGGGGGAGGC